TGCTGATGAGGGTGATGACGATGATGTCTGATGATGACGGTGATGCTGATGCTGACTACATTGATGATGCTGATGATGATGATTATGACTACGATGATGATGTCAATGGTGATGCTGTTGATGCTGATGATGATGTTGATGCCGATGCTGATGATGATGATGATGATGATGATGATGTGGATGACGATGATGATGCTGATGCTGATGGTGCCGATGCTGATGACGATGATGATGCTGATGACGCTGATGATGATGAGGATGCTGATGATGATGATGATGAAGATGGTGATACTGCTGATGATGACGATGCTGACGATGCTGATGACTATGATGATGGTTATGATGATGTATGATGATGATGATACTGACGATGCTGAATATGATGATGGTGATGTTGGTGATGATGATAATGATGGCGATGATGACGATGCTGGTGATGATGATGGTGATAATGTTGATGCTGCTGATGATGATTATGACTATGATGATGATAATGATGATGCTGCCGATGATGTTTATGATGATGATTTTGATGATGATGATTATGATGCTGATGCTGATCATGCTGATTATGATGATCATTATTACCATGCTCATGATGACGAAGATTATGCTGATTATGATACTCACGATGATGATGATGATGATGATGATGATGATGATGATGATGATGATGATGCTGATGATGCTTACGATGATGATGATGACGATGATGATGATGATGATGATGATGCTGATGATGATGATGATGATGATGACGATGATGATGATGATGATGATGATGCTGATACTGATGATGATGATGATGATGATGATGATGATGATGATGATGATGATGATGATGATGATGATGATGACCATCATCATCATCATCATCAGCATCATCAGCATCATCATTATCATCATTATCAACGCCACCCACGGTCGCCAACGCTACTCGGCAGGGGCTCAGCCCGAGGGTGCGGCTCTTCATCAGATAGCCGTGGAAACTGTCCGAGGGCGCCCGTACGCAAATGCCATAGTTCGGGCTCGTCTTCGCTGATCTCCCCCTCCTTTCCTTGCCGCTGCTGCCGCTGTCTTCCGGTTTTATACCTCTGTCTTCCTCTCTGCTGCCGCTGTCTTCCTCTCTGCTGCCGCTGCTGCCGCTGTCTTCTGAAGATTCGCCCCGGCTTCGGGGCCCCGGGGTATTCGCCTCCGCATGCTGGGTGGCCGATAGTGCCCGTATTGGCGTTTTTCTCTCATTCCTCTTCCGCCTGCGTTCGCCTCCTCTGCGTCTCTCCCTCCTCCTCGTCCTCTCTTGCCCGCCCATCCAGCCACCCAGCTGCGGCTCGATGTTGGCCCGTCCCATTCTTTTTTTTTAAATTGGGCTTTGACCCTGTAGGGTAATCCACAGGTGCCGCCTCTGCGATGATTGATATAGCTCGCCATGTGGTTTCTTATCACACTCGAGACGGTCACCCTGGCTCAGTTTGGGGTCTGCAAGCAGCACCTGTCGCACCTTTTTTGAGCATGTAGGCAGCACCTGTCGCACCAGTCTTGTCCTCCTCCTTTTCCTGTCTCCTCTTGATCGTCTTTGCGCAAGCTGCTGTAAGCAAAGCCTCGCTGACGCTTGGTGCTCAAATGGTGTACAGGTTTCTTGCGTTCGATGAAAACTGGACAGAACAAAACATGTTGATGATGATAATGACGATGATGACGCTGATGATGACGATGATGAGGCTGATGATGCTGATAATTATTATGCTGACGATGATGATTATGCTGATGATGATGGTGATGATGATGCTGATGCTGATGCAGATGACTGTTGATGATTCCGATAAGGAGGACGAGGAGGATAATGAAGATCAGGATGATGATGATGCTGATGATGATGACGCTGATGCTGGCGAGGATGATGATGACAGTGATGCTAATGATGATGATGCCAATGATGATTATGATGGTGATGTTGAAGATGATGGTGATGTGGACGGTGCTTGTGCTGATGATGCTGATACTGATGATGATGACGGTGATGATGATGACGAAGATGACGATGATGATGAAATGATGGTGGTGATGCTGATGAAGATGCTCATGATCATGCTGATCATTATGCATCTGATGGTGCGGATGATGAAGACGAAAATGACGATGACGATGATGATGCTGCTGATGGTGATGCTGCTGATGCTGTTGCTTATGATAATCCTGATGATGATGCTGATGAAGATGATGCTGGTGGTGGTGATGACGATGATGACGACGATAATCATGATGATGCTGCTGCTGATGATGTCGAAGACAGGCTATGACAGTAGAGAGAAGTGATCTGCAGCTTTCTCCGATAGAGCGCGCCCCGCGCTGCGCGCCGGGCCGCCCGCAGTTAATGCATGGAAGGCCCGCGGCCAGAGCACGGGCTACCCACGAACCTGCCCCTGGATTCGAGGTACACTCAAGGCCCATTCCCAGCGGCGAGGAGGCCGCGCCAGAGGCGGCGGAGGACCCAGAGGGGGCCACCTGGGTCGTCATCCCAGACAGCACCCATCGCGGGCCGCCCAGAGTGGCGGCAGGTGCCGAACCTGTGGTTCGGGCCGCCCCTGCCGCTTGCAACCACTGCTGCGCAATTTGGGCCGCCCTGGGTTGAGGCGAGGACCTCGTCAGGGTGCACAGAGGCGCGGTCGCGTGGCAGGTGATCGTCGCTAGACTCGGAGACGGCAGGTACACTGGCGGGCGAGATCGCCTTCGTCGGTTCCCGTCGTTGGGCGAGGCGAGCGACAGGTTCCTCGACGGGCAGCGGGACTACGCATACATTGTCAAGGTCTTCGCCTGGACCAGGGCGCGCTGACGACACTCCCTTCTGGGGCGCGGCAGCAGACCGGGGACGTCCTGCTTCGCTCGTGGCTGCTCGAGCTGCCCATCGCCGGGGCCCGAGCCGCCGGGGCGGCAGCGCGGTGCCAGGCCCGCGTCGTCGTCGTCAACTTCGTGAGGCTCGAAGGCCCCGTCGCCGTCGACGCCCTGGCCCAAGAAGACTTCAGCCACCTCGAGCTAGAGGAGCCCCTCATCGTGGTGCCCGTCGCCTGCCTCCCTTACGATGCGGGCTCGCTCGCCTCCGTGGAGTACTGTATGTCTCGGTGGCGCTGCGCTCGGCCCATGGCGAGGAAATGCCAGTAGACGCTGCCTGCGCAAAGGTCTCGCCTGCGTTCCTGGCGAGGCTCATTGAGAGCTGCGCGGAGGACGAGGTGACGTGATCGAGTTCTTCGAATCAGCCGGCGAGTCTGCTCAGCCGGACCTGGTCGAGCTGGCCGACCTCGCCCCGAAGCCCGACGACTGGAACATCGGGATCCCGCTCCGACCCGTCGCGTTCCCCGCCCCCCCCCCTGGGCGACCCGGGACGCGGCGTCGGCATCCAGATCCGTTGCCGGTCAGATCGACGGGGGGGTTCTTCAGCGTCGACGAGCACGATGGCGAGGGCGTGGGGTACGACGCGGTCGACGCAGCCCGCGGGGCTGCCGCGCAGGAGTGGGCAGGTCGGCCGCGCGGCGCCTGCGTGGCGGGCAGCCGGGCCGCTGGAGGAGAGGGACTCCTGGCGGGGCTGGGGGGCCCATGGCCCCTCCCGTCAGGCGCCCCATCTCAACGGGTGACGTCGCCGCTGGCCGCGCTGGCGGAAAGGCCCGCGCCTGGCGCCCCCCCTGCTGCAGCCGAGACACGGGCTTGCGGCGAGCAGCGCCAAGAGAGCCGCACCCCCTCGTCGCGTCAATGTGTCGCGCGACGATCTGCAGAGTGCCCGTCGGGAGCTCCAAGCGCGAGCTGCTGGAAACCATCTGCGGCCAATTGAGGGGCTTCAAACCACATCGAGCAGGTCGAGAAGAGAAGCATGGAGGCCAATTGCCTCGTTTCTGTGGGAGTCCCCCCTGCCGCTCCGGGGTCGCTTCTTTGGGCGGGGCCCTCCGCGAGCGTGCTGGCGCCTGCCTTCTCAGAAATCGGCGGGGTTTCCGAGGAACCCTCTGGCCTTCTGAGAAACCGTCGGGCTCTTCGGAAAAAAGGCTTCCAGGAACTTTTCTGGAGGGCCGAAGAGGCCCTTCCGAGCCTTCAGAGGAGGCTTGCCCCCTCGGACTTCCCCCCTGGCTCGCCGCCGATATCCCATCGCTCGAGTTAAGTCGGGCATGTCCGTCTACACGAAGAGTATTCAATAATAGTCGTACATAGTCTTGAACGATTTCGCGTGATCTTCGGGACTGTTTGACTTTCTCCCGTTGTTGCCATGTTTTTTTCTTCCAAACCCAGCTGGTATGGGGGACATGCCCGACCTAGCGCAGGGCTTATAGAGAACTCTTCGGGCCTTCGGAGAAAGCATATAGAGAATTCTTCAGAAGGCCGGAGGCCTCTCGAGCCTTCTGAGGAGGCACGCCTTCTCTGACTACCCCCCGTGCTCGCCGACGATTTTGTACAGGGCCCAAACACCTGCACCACCACCACCAGCACCGCCACCGCCACCACCACCACCACCACAACCACCACTACCGCCACCACTACCACCACCACCACCACCACCACCACCACCACCACCACCACCACCACCACCACCACCACCACCACCACCACCACCACCACCACCACCACCACCACCACCACCACCACCACCACCACCACCACCACCACCACCACCACCACCACCACCACCACCACCACCACCACCACCACCACCACCACCACCACCACCACCACCACCACCACCACCACCACCACCACCACCACCACCACCACCACCACCACCACCCCCTCCCGCTCCCAGGGCAAAGGAGAGGAAAAGGAGGGTAGAGGAGGGAGGAGAAATCGACGTGGTGGTGGTGGTTGTGTATCTCCCCCTCCGTCTCCCAGGACGGAGGAGAGGAAGAGGAGGGTAGAGGAGGGAGGAGGAGTCGACGTGGTGGTGGTGTAAATTCTTGGGGCCCGCCTTTTTGTCGCTCGTTGAGGGGGCGCGCGCCCTTCTTGGCACCATCCCCCCCGCCCACGAGGCGTGCGCGCCCGCCGACGGAGAGGGACGCTGGCGACGCGGGGCGCGGCGTCGGCCTCGAGGAGGCGCGGGGACAAGTGCGGAGACCGCCGCTCGGGAGCGCCGTTTTGCCACCTCCTCCTCCTCCTCCTCCTCCTCCTCCCCCTCCTCCCTCCTCCTCCTCCTCCTCCTCCTCCTCCTCCTCCTCGTCCTCCTCCTCCTCCTCCTCCTCCTCCTCCTCCTCTCCTCGTCCTCCTCCTCCTTACTTCTCCTCCTCCTTCTCCTCCTCGTCCTCCTCCTCCTCCTCCCTCTCCTCTCCTCCCCCTCGCGTTGTGAAGAAAAATCGAGGTGGGAGGTTATTCGCTATTTTCGGCCTCCGGGGGCCCTCGCCGTGCCTTGGGACCGTCAATAAACGACTCACGGTGAAGAGCCGGTCCTGGGGAAGGTGTCCAGACCTCTGGGGGTCGACGCTGTGAAAAGATCGCGGCGTCGGGGGTGTGGGTCTTGGGCCGCTCCCGGGAGGGGCTTCGCCATCGAGGAGGAGCCGAGAGGTCGAAACATAAACTTTGGAGCTCCGCAGAAAAGGACAATACACATCAACTTTTGGAGCTCCGCGCGGATTTCTTGGAGGAGGAGGAGGAGCAGGGAGAGGAGGAGGAGGAAACATAATAGTCATACTGTTAATCATTCAAAAAAGTATTAGTATACAAAGAAGACCAACACTTTTTCAACATAGGAATAACATGAATTAAGCTAATAAGAAGACGAGTACTATTAATAGCACTCGTACCAATAATGACCAGAAGAGGAGGAGGGGGAGGCAGAGGAGGAGAAGGAGGAGAAGGATGACTACTAATACATGTAAGAAGAATAATACGAAACATTGAACTAATACGACGAATAACAAGACATGTGCTACTCATAATCATAAGACTAAGAATGTTCATGATTATAATGCGAAGAGTCAGATGAGGAATACTACGAATCATAAGATGAATGCGACTGATACTACTAATACTAATACTAAGAACACTCAAACTAATCCTTCTAATGCTATCAATAACATGATTCTTCATAGTAGTAGACATATTAATATTAATGATACTACTACGAATACGAAGAGTCATAGTTAGATTATTAAGACAACTCGTACGAACAGTTCTAAAAAAAGACGCATCCGAATCATACAACACACTAAGGGTAATAATGGAAATACACCGAGGACGAATAGTACGAAAATATTGCCAGTCGTAAGAAGAAGATGAATCCGACTCAAATTAAACATACAAATATCATCACTAATAATGTTCTTGATGCCGATGCCAATGGTAGTAGTAATAACAATGCGATTGGTACTTCATGAATGTATTACTAAAAGTACGGGTAAGACGTCTACTGAGACTGCTACTACTATCAATAATACTACCAATACTTATACGGCTACGACTACGAGTACTAGTAATAACACAAATGACAATGAAACAAATAGTAATACTCATACTAATCGTAGTCATAATCATAATGATGCTGATGATAAGTCGGATACTAATAATACGAATAATAACGATAATGACAGTACCACGAGTCACATTACTATGCGTGATATTCATACGAATGTGAACACTAATGAACATATTACTACTGAGAAGAATAAGATCAGGAAACATATAAGGAGGAGGATGAGGAGGAGGAGGAGGAAGAGGAGGTGGCGGTGGTGGAGGAGGAGGAAGAGGAGGAGGAGCAGGAGCTACTTTCTGCCTCCTCCGTCTGCTGCTCCTCCTCTTCCTCCTCTTCATCCTCCTCCGCCTCGCCAGGCGCACCGCCCGGAGCCCGACCCGCCCGCGCGCGCCGCCGAGCAGGAAGCCTCGGGGTCGGCAGGTGGGGCCCCTGTGCGCCCCGCTCCTCTGCCCCGGCGTGCAGGAGGAGGAGGAGGAGGAGGAGGAGGAGGAGGAGGAGGAGGAGGAGGAGGAGGAGGAGGAGGAGGAGGAGGAGGAGGAGTCCAGGAGGAGGAGGAGGAGGGTGAGGAGTAGGAGGAGCAGGAGGAGGGGGAGGAGGAGGAGGAGGAGGAGGAGGGTGAGAAGGAGGAGGCGGAGGAGGAGGAGGCGGAGGAGGAGGAGGATGAGGAGGAGGAGGAGGAGGGTGATGAGGAGGAGGAGGAGCAGGAGGAGGAGGAGGAGGTGGAGGAGGAGGATAAGGAAGTGGATGACGGAGAGGGGCGAGGGGAGGAGTCCCGGCCAAAGGGTCCTGCCCACGTGGTCCTACCTGTGTGGTCCGCACATGGGGTGCTGTGTTTGGGGCGTGTGGTTGCGGATGGACATGCTGTCTGCAACTTTTTGTCAGCGTGTCGCTACGCCGGCTCTTGCCCACTGCGCTTCGGCGCGGCACGCGAGCCACATCTGGGCCCCCGCGCGACAGCGTCCCGAGCTCTGCCCGGCCTCCCGTCCTGCGTCGCGGAGCGACACGCTCTCCGCCCGCAAGGCACAGCGTGTCGCCAGGGCCGCCGCGGCGCTGCGTGAAGCAGCAGCTCCTGCGCAGGAAAGGGTCCTGCGCACGGGGTGCGGCGGCGGTGGGGTCCAGCGGCAGGTGGCGACCGGGCCCCGCCCATGAGGCGCCTGGCTTGGGTTGGGGCTCGGATGCCGTGCTGGTGGAGGTCTGGTGGGGAATGCGCATATGGTCCCGCCCATGGGGGCCCCTCCCACAGGGTCCCGCCAGGAGGGGCCCGGTGGCTGTGCGGTCTCGCCCATCATCAGGGTCCTGCTCTTGAGGTCCCGCCCCGCAGGGTCTGGCACAGATCGCTTCGCATCTGCGGTTCTGGGCTTTGACGCCCCCGCCTCATTGGTTTGTTTTGGGCTGACGGGCTGGTATTCTTCAGCGCAGCGTTTTTCGTTCACCGAGCGCGTCCCACTCATTGCTCGCAAGCTGCCCACTCGCAATCGTCCGAGCAAGAAGCATGTTTGCCTCGGTTTTCATGTATCGGACATCCCCCTCGGCGGACCTGGGCCACTTGCGATCAGTTGCTCTGCGAGTCGTGGAAGGCGCGCGTGTCTGTGCACGTTGAAGAGCGCGCCGGATTGGCGCCACGGTCCTGACCCCGCTCGGACCTCCCCAGGCCACCCGGCTATAGTCGACTACACGCAGGGGTGACCCTTCGCTGGAGTGACCTCTTGTGCGGCCCAAGAGGGCCCCGATCGCCGATCGCGATGCGGTGGTTGCGTCTTGCGCGCTCGCGTTTGGTCCCCCCGCGGCCCCCCAAAGCCGCGCGCCAAAGGTCATTCTTACCCAGGGTCACTCTTGCGTGTAGTCGATATGGGCCCTGGTGGCCAGGCCCCACTGGCCTCCACACTCCTTGGGTTGAACATGGCTCGGCGGCGAGCGAGGGGGGGAAATGAAGAGGAGAAGGCCTCCTCAGAAGGCGGCGGGACTTCTCAGAAGCCCTCGCACCTTCTGAGAGGTTTTCTTTTTTCCTCGTGGAAGGCTCAGACAACTTTTCAGAAGCCCGGGCGACTTCCGAGCCTTCTGAGAAGGTACGCCTTTTCTCACTTCCCCCCGGCGCGACGCCTATCCATACTCCCTGTGTTGGACATGCTGATAAGCGGCGTCTTTGCTTGAAGGTTCGGCGATCACCCGGATTATCGGGTCGCCCTTCGGATAACAACCCTGTCGCTTCAGCAGGTCTAGACGTATGCCTCGCTATTCCCAGACGGCTCCCGCATCGTCGCAGCACGAGCAGTAGCATCGTCGCAGCATCGTTAGCAGCTTTGGGGGCCGCATCACTGGTGCGCGCGGGCATGTGTGGGGCTGCCCACAGCGCGAAGGTTAGATTATCGGCCGGCTCCCCCGGATAACGCGGGTTTTCGCCGATCCTCCTAAACAGCCTCTAATTTTAAGGCTGAGAGTTCGAGTAGCGGTAATGACGAGCGCAACGACACCTGCGCCCCCCCGAGCCAGCCAACCCGTGGGCGCCCTGAAACGGATGCGCGGAGCGGACCTGTCCCCGCCGATGTGCACCGCTCGGGTGCAGCCTGCAGGATGCACGCTCGGCCGGGGTCGCAGTGGCACGGCGCTCAGCGGGAGCAGCTCAGGAGTCCTGCGTTGACGAAGTGTCTCCTCGCCCGCTGCCGCCCGCAGGCGGTCGCGCTGGCCAGCAGGAGCGGGGCTCGGGCTCGTGGCAGTGGAAGCCGCGCCCCGAGCATGGAGGAGGCTACGAAGGCGAGAAGGGCACGTTTGGAAATGGATCGGCGACTACACAGGGCATTGTTGCGCTGGGGTGTGGTTTGCGATCGGCACCATTGAGGCCTGGGGAGCACGACGCAGTCCTCGTCGGGCCTCCTCGGGGCGCGGCGGAGAGCTCTGTCGAGGTCCTCGCCCGCCCCCCAGGGTGCCCCCCAGGGTGCCAGTGGCAAGCCATACCCTTTGCAAACCATCCTTCGGAGTCGCCGAACGGAGGGGTCGTGCGGGCAATCGGCTTTGCATTGCCAGGCTTGGGTGACAGCATTTGTGTTCGCATTGGTGCAAGGGTATGGTCTCGGAAGGCAGGGGCTGACGTCGCTGGCTCGGCGGAAGTTTCACCACCACGCAAGCCAGCGGAA